ACGGAAGGATGTTCACTCAAACTGTCCTTTATTTTAGCTTCCACTATAAAGTGCTGAGAGAAAAATAAACAATGCATGGGATGGATGGACAGGTAGATTATGTTATAAATAAATGAATTAATAAAAATAGAAATAGACAGATTATTCCCATTTAAATAATCTTTTTTTTAACATGACAGTACATAAAACGATGCAGAATACAATAGGACTGGAATGGTAAATTACAACACCCTCCTCCATTTACTGTAAACTCTCCTCAAAGTTGAGCTAGTATGTAACATAAATATTGCACATCCACACAAACCACTTTTTCAATCAATCATCAAGGCTTCCTGCTTAGTGTGATTTGTTCTTGGATCCCCCTCCGCCTACAGGCTTAATCTCTGTATTGCTCAGTCTATTTGTGACCACGCTCCCAGGCAATCAGAACAGGGCGTCCTCTTCTGTCCGGCCCATCCCTGTTTTATGCTCAGCCAAATTCAATCAGGCACTCCTCTCACTGTCGCCATGGCGCCCGTAGAGTAGAGCAGGCAGACACACCCATCAGTGCGATCCAGCACTTAAGCACAATATGAGCATAAAAGCGAACTAAAATGTTCACATGATGACAATGAATACACTTTTCTGACACTTACATCCAAATCTGTTTATAGGCTCCGATAAATGCTGAAAGCATGATCAATAGTTATTTGATTAATGCTTTTTTTCTTGGGTAAACATTCACACTCTTAGTAAAAAGGGAAAAACAAGGTTCCCAGATCAGTATTTCTGTCATTTTGTTTGTTTGTGCAACTTTATTTCTTGAGCGTTAAAGTGTGTGGTGCCCTCTTCTGGTGTAAGATGTGTATTCCTCTGCCCTGCAGAGACTATAACAGTGTGTGTCTGTGTGTGAGAGCAGCAAGCGATGCTCTTAGAGCAGCAACGCATCCAGCAGCTGAGGAGCTACCGAGCCTCCATGGAAGTAGCTGGGTTACCAGTCAACATGGCTGCACACCGTCCTCTGTTCAGGACTCAGTCGTCTCCGGCGTCTGCTTCCTTTCCTATTGCAGTCCAGGAGCCACCAGTGAAGCATCGATTTACTACAGGTCAGTATGAATACACTATCCCACATACATACATACAAGAACATGGTAACAATAATTGACCTTCAACTGAAAACGCATACAAGTTTAGTCATTTATTCACCAGAAAGAAAGACAAAACATTTAATCAATTTTTAGAAAATATTCCAGAAAATATAAAGGAAAGTAAAAAAACAAACCTATTGGGTATTAAAGCGGTATGGTCTAAGAATTGTCGTTGTGATATGAAGGTATTTCATCAAACAAACACTGTTTCCTAGCATCTCGCTGCCTTAGACAAAAGCCAGCATTCACTGTGGCTGTAAACCCACAATTCTGTACCAACAAAACTGGTTTATGTTTGCAGGATCTACTGTTGTGTTTTCTATGGTAACGAGGATCACCATCTAATTAACCTGAATGGAAAAAAATTAACTTTCCACTAATTTAGGCAGAACAGTTAACCTACTTGTCAAGGAGGTAACCTCAGCTTCCCTTTTAAAGTCTTCTTCATTAGCTCCTTCCACCTGCAGAAGGCTTGCCCGATGTTTATTCTCATTTTATTTTCATTCTAATGTCTTTGGTTTCTTTGTCTTTTTAGTTATTTTTTTTTACCTTTTCTATGGGACGGTGAAACTATTTCTTGTGCTGCTGCTGCATATGCATGGTTCTGCTTCGTGCTGCAGACTTTCAGTTGTTGGATGAGCATCTCCAATGGAAGATGCAAAGGGAAATGCATTGTTATTTTGTGTGTTATAACACGAAATAACAATCTATTACTGCATAACAATGCAGTACTATAGTACTAATTTATTTCTCACCGTCATCTGTAGTCTGGAGATTGACTTTTATGGCAACAGGTGACCAGCCTTTTGTATAAACTAATATAAAATTATTCGCCGGAGTGGTGGCCTAGTGGTTAGGGCATAGGGATTGAAATCCTGAGGTTGTGAGTTTGAAACCCACTCCCACAGACTGCCTCTCTGGGTCTCTGAGTAAGACCATTAACGCTCGATTGCTCCCATCACTGCACGGTGGCAGCCCACTGCTCCCCAAAGGTGATAGGTTAAATGCAGAGCGTTCATTTCTCCATTGTGAGATCAATAAAGTTCAATTTCAATAATGCAATCTAAATGCAGTCATTGATTTAAGGAAATGAAACAGAGAAATATTACAAAATGTCCCTTTAAATGTGTATATAAATTGATTATCAGCACTACAAACTCTTTTTGAAGATTAAAAATTATATAAGTCCAACAGGTTCATCTGGAAAAAAAAAATAATTAACCCAAAAGCTCCATCTATGACTCTAAATGCCTCAGTTATATTTGTATTTATTTCAGGCAAGTACAATTAGAAAAAGCTTAAACTGCTTCATTAAATGAAAGGCTCATCACTCTAACATGACAGATTAAATTAGTTTTGATGAGTTGCATTTGAATTAAACCATAACACAGAAGGAGCCATCGTTTTTTGATATGGAGGACCAAGTTATAGAAGAGAAAGAATGAAGTTATGCTGCTATAATGCACAGCTCCATGTTTGGGGAAACTAACATGCATGGTGGTGAATCTGTGGTGATTTGGGTGTTTGCAGTCACATGACCTGCAATCCTTGCAGTCATCAACTCTGTATATTATTGGAGAGTAGAAGTTATTTTAAATCCTGTGTTGATAGCTGGGGTGAGATGGGAATAGGGTGTCAAAAACACTGCAGCAGTGTTGTAAAGAAGAAATAAAACTGTTCCTCCTCACTGGTGTTGGAGGAACTGAAAAAGTAATAGAGTTAATTAATAATAGACATATGGTTGATAAATACTTTTTCTGTTTAATCTGTTTTGTAAACTTAAGACTTATTAGATATTTTTTTAGAACTTTGTAAAGATTAGCTTAGTGTTTTGATGCATAAAATGCTGGCATTTAATAATTTTATGATGTTATTGGTCTTTGATTGCTTTTTTCCTGTTCCAGGTCTAGTGTATGACTCCTTGATGCAGAAACATCAGTGCATCTGCGGCAACGCCACCATTCATCCTGAGCATGCCGGCCGAATTCAGAGTATCTGGTCCCGGCTGCAAGAAACGGGCCTCAGGGCTCAGTGTGAGGTGAGACCATATAAAACACATTCACCAATTAAATTAAATTGAATTAACCGATTCAGTTCAAAATAATCCAGTTTGATCAAAATCTGTTTGAGATAATAAAAGATAAAACTAATCAATAATTGAATGGTAAATTGACATATTTATTTTCTTTATGCTTTTCAAGTAAAACTCTGTATCTGAACCCCTAGTTTAGGCTTTTTTGAAGCTACTTATATCTAGAATAAATTTTTTATATTACATTGATCTTTTTGAGTCTGAATGTTCTTGGGATTAGATTAGATTATAGAACTACTTACTTCGAAAGTCTTTAAGAGTTAATTTAAGATCCTCATTGATATAAAGAGAGATATCCTTTTCACTAAAATTGTTGACAAACCAGATTTGAGACCCTCATCATAAGACTATACCTATATTAAAACAGCGTTAGTAACATGAGTGTGATCTTATCTCAGTGGGTTAAGGGTAACTGGTTCAAATCAGTTGAATGAGGGATGATATACAGTATCAGGGGGGAAAAACTGCAACTGGTGTCTAAAGAAGAGATTAAATTGTTTCTTTCAGTACTAGCACACTGCAAAAGTAACACTTAAAGGGAAGGGAATGTGTTTGTTATTTTTATTTCTTCATTAAATCCAGATTACAATTAAGAGTGTGAATTAAAACTGATCCAACTTTTAAAAAAATGCTCCAGTTTTGTTCTGAAGAACCAGAAAACAGTCAGTAGATGTTTTTAAATGTACTTGCATGTGTCTGATTATTAACTTTTCTCCAATTAAGTTTTTCAAGTTTTGGTTTGGTAGTTTTCCAATAACTTAAAATGGATATTGAATCTTTTGATTATACATTTAGATTTTTTTTTCAACTTTAAAATAAATTAACAAGGATGGTTGTATTAAAGCGAGGATGCTTTTCTAATATTACTGTATAAAAGGTTATAATGGTCCAATTTAGCAATATTAAAATATTTTTTTTCAAAGTTGTGTTTATCGCTCAAAAGAATCAGAAAGTTCAAAGCTAAACTTCAAAATTATTTCTGCGGCTTTTATGTTTATCTTGTGCTTTTTAAATTATGTGCTGTTGCAAGTTTAAACCAGAAGAGGGCAGTAGTACTCTCTTTATCTAGCATTTGCTTCAATCTAAAAATAAGGTTTGAAGCATGTTCTTCTGCATTTCTTATACATTTTTGTCTTCCTATGAATATTTGCACACATATTTTTGAGATTAACCACAGAAATTAATGCAGCAATAGTCTTCTTTCTGTCAAAAATCAAAAATGTGTTTCAATCCAGTTTCTCTTCTCTTTTCAGTATATCCGTGGTAGAAAGGCCTCACAGGAGGAGCTCCAGACGGTGCACTCTGAGGCCCACGTCCAGCTGTATGGGACCAACCCGCTGCGACAGAAACTAGACTGTAAGAACTGCATCTTCACTATTCCATCCAAACAGATGTTTGTGTTGCTCATTTTTTTGCACGGAATAGAAAAATCCCATCTGAATGGGTAATATATCAGAAAAGATTTAACTCTAGTTAAATCCAATGAATTAAATGCAAGTTGTAACTTTGTTTGATCATTGTTCTTATACCTTCACCACATCTTGTAAATCTTATTTATCCACACCATCTGCTAAAGGAATCTGTTTTAATGCTTAAACCGCTCTGAAACAAAAGGCCTGATCTAATAAAGTAGTGGAGGTGTAACAATAAAGTCCGGACCCTCTGAAGCTGTTAAATTAAAAAGTCACATGAGCTGCTGTGTCACTTAGGTCTTGGCTCAAAGAGTAGATGGAGCCAGAAAAGTTAGTGTTATATGCATTTACAACTCACACACTGATGCAGCAGATCCCAGAGGTGATCTTAGCTTTCATACCAAAGAGGAGCTCAGATGGTCTCACAAAGCCACATTACCAGATACTCTGAGACTGACTAAAAGAAGGCTTATTATGAACTAGTAAAAGCTGTGCATGTAAAATGCAAACTTTGATTAAAACAAAAAAATAAGGGGACAACATGCTTTTATTTGAAGTGAAACAAGGACAAGTGTGAAAATGGCTTCCTGTTGTTATTTTAAAAACAGAAAACCTGAGGAATGTTTGTTGTTGCAAAAGCATAATCTCAGCCTGTAAAATATAAACTATTATTTGAGTGCATTCATTCAGTGGGAATTTTAAGATGTTATCCCATATGTTTTTGCAACACTTACTGGCACCAAAAGTAGCTGAAATATATACTTTACTTTCTTAAGTCAAGGGTATCAATAAAGCTTAATTATTCATACGTGATTTTCTGCTTCTCTGGGGCAAATCCGTAATGCAAACACCACTCAGAGGTCCGTTTCTCTTAGTCTTCAAAAGAGTAAAGATAAGAAAACATAAAAAAAATAATAACCCTTGTTAACTTATCTTAATCTACAGTCAGAGCAACAATTAAGTTGCAGACGTGGGGCTGTGACAAAACAAGACCCAAATTCTTGCTATTTCCTTTCTTTTTCTTTTTTTTTTGGATGTGTTCTGCTCTTTTAATCATTCGTTGATCATTTATTGTAAGTATAAAATGTTTTGATGTGTTATTTTCTATTTGCTGTATACGGTCTATACAGTGTATGCAGTGGACTGAAGCGCCTTAATTCACAATTGAATAGGAGTGAGTTTTTCTACAACAAACAGGTCAGGTTTACAATGAAGCATGTTAAGGTGGAAAAGCATCAAATGCTGGTTGTTAAATATGGTAGTGGATCTGTGATGCTTTGGGCCTTGTTTCTCTTCCTAAGCCCCTAAAAGTGGCTTTGAAATGTTCACCTTAAAATACTCATGGATTGGTTTTAACTGGGTCTTTCAGTAGGATAATGATCCAACATTTATTACCAGAACACCTTAGAAAAGCTTCACTAACACTAAGCCAATAATGACCCATGGTCCTGACTGATTGAGCGTGCTGGGGGATTCATTTTACTGCTGTTTTTCAAATAAGGTTTGGTTTTCAATTTTCAATTGAGTTTATGCCGCTTATTTCAAAATGCATTTATTTCAATGCATATCCTTACCATGAATGCCAGCAGGTGTGGAGAGTTTGGTGTCCCAGCAATAATTACATACTGAATCCAGCTTGTTGAAAGATTTGTCATTGTCCCATAAATTGGACGTCCAAGTAAATTAGCCAGCTAATCTTTGTTTATTGACCTTCAGTGAGCGAACAGAACCCTCTCTGGGCTTCTCCCTGAGGACACCCTTGATTAGGAGGTCAATGAGAACTTTTTTCTTGTCCTGTTCTAATTAAAGGAACTCCCCCTTCCCCATGTATTATTGCCGTTAGATAAGGTCAGAAAGTCAAATGTGACGTCTCAGTAGGTCATGTTCTCATTTGGACCTTTGAGGCCCCAAAACTTCCCTTTTCACCTGCTGACCCTTTTCTTTGCTTACCCCTGTCTGCTTTCTTAAATCTGTTTCTTCTCCCCTGCAGGTTCTGTGAACCCCATGTTTGTGAGGTTACCATGCGGAGGCATCGGGGTGAGTGACTCATCTTTCCTTGTCTTCTCTTTACAAAACATTCAGTGTCTAATTAAAATGTTTTTAACCCATGTGGGGGATTTTCTTTGTAAACTGCATCAATTTCAAGTCGTGCCACTTGATTTAGTGGAAAAGCTGTCATGTCTTTACAGAAGTGCGATCATCTCATCAGTGTTCATGAAGTTCTTTGCTCAGGAGTTCAGTGAACAGTTTCAGATATTAGTGAAACAACTGAGCGGCCTTCGCCCACGCTATTCTCTGTATCTGCCCACGGATTCAAAAATGCTCCCATTGCTCTTCGTCTCGCGCGCGCACACACATAAAACCACCGCCCCTTAAGGGCTAGAGGCAAACAAAAGCTGTTGCTTGCCTTTCCGCTGTGCTTGAAATTATAACCAGATGCTTGGAACTCTGTGAGCATTTGTGTGTGTGTTCTGGTGGAGCCTATGATTGTGTTTTTGTGGATGTTTGTCTGCTCTCCTGGTGAGTTTGGTGCACTTTTACATCTCTGAGAGCCCAGCATAATCACACCTGTGTGTTTGCTGGCATTTTTTCACACGGTTGATCATTTTAAGATGATTGAACCTCCTGGTTATCTCTTTCTAAATTTCGCTTCCTCTGTCGTTTAGGAGGGCAAAGGGAGCTGGAGTACCACACTTCTCTGCTCTCTATAATGGCAAATGGGACCAAATTGTTGTCTTCCTGTAATATACTCACATACAAGTTATACACACAAACACACAGAGGAAAGGGGGGGAGTTGGTGTTTGAAATTAGCCTGTCAGCCTGTGGAGACCCATCGTTTCATTATACCAGCACATTCCCTCTCCTCTAAAGCTCTGACACAACTTCCCATTTCATTTTTTTTTTCCTGCACAGTTATTGTCTTAATTCCCTGCTGAATGTAACATCAACACGGGAAACAATAAATTGTCCGCTTCATTCGTCTTCGGAACAGCATCATTACTCTGATTGGTGTTTTCACATCCCTTCCCTTCTCACTCACTTGGTTTCTCACTTAGTCATTGTCTGGACTAATAACATAGAGAGAAATGTTGCTTCTGTAGGCTTGAAGATTGGAAGTTGTAGCCAGGTGCTGCTGTTTACCTTTGGTCTGACGCATATTGCTGATGGATGGATGGATGGATGGATGGATGGATGGATGGATGGATGGATGGATGG